ATCTGCGCCTGTCTTCCCCTCCTGCCCAAAATCGCCCTCTTCGCCCCGTTCTCCCCCTCCCTGCCCCCTCTCCCCATCTCCCCTGTCTCCCCCATCTCCCTCCCTACTCCCCAGAATCCCCCTCTCCCTCTTCCCATCTCCTCCGCTGTCCCCTCTCTCCATCTCCCCTCCTTCCCCCTCACCCCCTCCGTATGTTCCTCTATCTCTCTCTCTCTCTCCACCTCCATTCCCCCCTTCTCTCCCACCCCCTCTATCCCCCTCCACCCTCCCTCTCCCTCCCCCTTTTTTTTCTCCCTCTTACTATATTTTAGTGAGCCTTTGCAGCACCTTTTCTAGTTTCTTTATCATTATCTCCATGCTCTTTAATTTTATATGTTTTTTGTGGCCTTTAAGTTTACTTTTTAAATTAAATGTGTAACTTATTATTCCGGTTGATAGTTGCTCTGGCCTTTTTTAAATTTAAATCTCCATGTTGCACATGTTATTTTTTTTTTATTTTGGACTTGTTACCAGTGACCACCATATCTGTTTCACAAAGAACACTTTTTAAACCTCAAAGCAGTTCAAGGATTTTATTTTATTGAAATAAGTTTACAGTTCACTCAAAAGAATATAATGAAATAATTAGCATATAACACATAAAAACTCTGTTAGGTTTTTTAGCATGGGAATGCAAGATATCAATAATAAAGATATGGTTTCGGAACCAGAGTAGGCCAGACAAACCTGTCTTAATATAATGCCTCGAGTAGGTTTCATTGGTAGTATGTGAAAATAAAGAAACCTACTACCTATAGAACTAAATAATTTTCCAAAAGTAGCAATATTGCTTCATAAGTAATAAATCTTATATTTACGAGTTATTGAACCTGAAAGGTCAAAATCACAAACGATCTCAATGAAGGATCTGCCAATTACTTCATGCAACTTCGTTTTGTCTATTAATAAATTAATTTTCTCGTCTAAGGGCCTTTCTTAAAAACCGGTATGAATTGCATCAACCTTGATCCCCTTTTTCAAAGTTCAGTGCCCTACGATGTTCAGCATATAAGTGATAGGAGTCGGTTTTCCTGTTCACAAATTCTGTATGTTATTTTAAGAACTACACTATCCTTGTTTTATTGTATTCATTAATAATTGCTTTGAAAAACTTTGGTGATACCTAGATAAACTGACCAGTGAAAATGGAATGCATTATTTCTAATATCTGCCTTGATAATCAATTTGGGAAATCCACATTTCAATTGGGGAACTAACATTCAAAGTTTGAAAAAAATTCATTTGACATATTTTTGCATCAGATTTGAGGCGGGACTAGTTTCAAACCAGAAAATCTCCCATCTCACGTGATTTTTTGCTACGACAGAGTGGGCCAAAAATCATTTGAGCAATTTCCCGATGCGAGTTTAATAATATATGTTTCAACAATTATTTTGATGAAAAAATTTGACATAGTTTGTGTTACTCGCTATAACAATGAAAAATATGGAATATCAAATTGTAATGTATTAATGGAAATTGATTTGTTGCCATTTGCAAGATAAATATGGTGACTGCCAAATTTTGCCACTTGAATGTCGCAAAATTGAGATTAATAATGTAAGGTAGGGCATATTCTAATTCAAATGTAACTTGACCATTTTCTGTTGATTATGTCTCAGGACGCAAAAGAAAAATATGAACTTTGTAAGCTACATATTTCAACTTAAAGCGGCAAATTGTTAAATGGTTTTTCCTACCCTTCATGCATCAGTCTCGTTTTCCTATTATTTCTGACTTAGCCTGGGGTAAAAGTAGGAGCCCGTTGTGCGAGCCAAATGCTCTTTACATCTGGTTCGGATGCTTACCTGATCCCTCAGAACTGCTACAAACAACTATGGTTGTGGCCAGGGGAATACCTCATGTTTTATCATGAAAGTTGTCCTCAACCGTAAACAGCAGGGTCTCAACATATATTTCCGGACTTTCCATTAAAAGAATATACAATTTACAACATATTATCAAGCACAAAGGATCTTGCTCACTGGGAAGAAAGTATCCACTGGGAAGTGATTAGTGAGTCCCTGGGGTAGGCCACTCAGCACCAATAGATAGCATTAAAAGCAGGAAGGATTGTGGCCAAAGAAAAAAAAAAGCGGGTTTTATCCCCTCTCTCCTTTTTGGGTGTTTTCCCCCTCCCTCTCCCTCCCCTTTTTTTCTCCCTCTTCTATATTTTAGTGAGCCTTTGCAGCCACTTTTCTAGTTTCTTTATCATTATCTCATGCTCTTTATTTTATATGTTTTTTGTGGCCTTTAAGTTTACTTTTTAAATTAAATGTGTACTTTTATTCGGTGTGATAGTTGCTTCTGGCCTTTTTTAAATTTAATCTCCATGTTTGACATTAATTTGACTTGTATACCAGTGACCACCATATCTGTTCAAGAACCTTTAAACCTCAAGCAGTCAAGATTTTTTTTTTGAAATAAGTTACAGTTCACTCAAAAGAATATAATGAAATATTAGCATATAACACATAAAACTCTGTTAGGTTTTTGCATTGGGAACCAAATATCAATAAAAAGTATGGTTTCGGCCAGAGTGGCCAGACAACCCTGTCTTAATATAATGCCTCAGTATGCTTAATTGGTAGTATTGAAAATAAAGAAACCTACTACCTATAGAACCAAATAATTTTCCAAAAGTAGCAATATTGCTTCATAGTAATAAAGTTCTTATATTTTACGAGTTTATTGAACCTGAAAGGTAAATCACAAACGATCTCAATGAAGGATCTGCAATTCTCATCAACTTCATTTTGTCTATTAATAAATTAATTTTCTCTCTAAGGGCTTTCTTAAAACCGGTATGAATTGCATCAACTTGATCCCCTTTTCAAAGTTCATGCCCTACATGTTCAGCATATATTGATAGAGTGGTTTTCCTGTTCACAAATTCATGTTGTTATTTTAAGAACTACACTATGCTTGTTTTATTGTATTCATAATAATTGCTTGAAAAACTTTTGGTGTACCTAATACTGACCATGAAAATTGAATGATTATTTCTAATATCTGCCTTATAATCAATTTGGGAAATCCACATTTCAATTGGGGAACTACATTTCAATTTTGAAAAAAATACATTTGACATAATTTTGCATCAGATTTGAGGGGACTAGTTTTAAAACCAGAAATCTCCCATTCACGTGATTTTTGCTAGTGGCCAAAACTCATTTGACAAATTTCCCATGGAGTTTAATAATATTGGTTTCAACAATTATTTTGATGAAAAAGTTTGACATATTGTTTTACTCCTATAACAATGAAAAATATGGAATATCAAATTTATGATTAATGGAAATTAATTTTTGCTCATTTGCAAGATAAATATGGTGACTGCAAATTTCCACTTAAATGTCGCAAAAATTGAGAGTTAATACTGTAAGGTTTAGGGCATATTCTAATTCTAAATGTACTTACCATTTTCTGTTGATTATGTCTCAGGACCAAAAAGAAAAATATGAAACTGTGTAAGCTACATATTTCAAGCTTAAAGGCATAATTGTTAATGGTTTTTCCTACCCTTCATGCATCAGTCTCTTTTCCTATTATTTTCTGACTAGCCTGGGTAAAAGTAGAGCCCGTGTGCGAGCCAAATGCTCTTTACATCTGGTTCGGATTCCTTACCTGATCCCTCAACTGCTACAAACAACTATGTTTGTGGCAGGGAATACCTCATGTATTATCATAAGTGTCCTCAACCTAAGACAAGAGGGGTCAACATTATTTCTGGACCTTTCCATTAAAATATACAATTTACAACATATTAATCAAGCACAAAGGATCTTCTCACTGGGGAAGAATTCACTGGGAAGTGATAGTGAGTCCCTGGTAGGCCACTCAGGCACCAATAGATAGCATACAGGAAGGGATTTGGGCAAAGCAAAAAGGTTTCCTGACTGAAAAGAAAAGGGAAATCTATGTATAATTTGTTTAATATGTTATTGGTGTGATTGATTGACAATTGATTCACAATTTTGAAAGAAATCTTAATTATAATGTGAGAGAAATATCTTATCTTTATATGTTATTCTAAAATTGGACATATGGGAAGTCATATTTTTATTTTCTATTAGAAAGGTTTCTGTAATAGTGAGTAATTTCTAAGTTAAAACACAACTGACATATTTTCTTCCACGTATTACAATAAATTGTGACTAATAGGCCTTGGCAGTATGGAGCAGCTGCAAGTACTGTATGAAGTGCGTGTACGTGAAGTAGCACGGCTCACACAGCAGCTGGAGTTGCAGGCTCAAGAAGCAGCAAGGGAGAAAGATGATCTGCACAGGCAAGTGGCATTCCGAGAAGCTGAGAAAGAGCGTGCCAAGATGCTGTATCAACAAGCTCAAGAACTTCTTGGTAAGATGCCTCTTCTCCACAGAATCTTTGTTTGGTACAAATGTGGTATTTTTAATGTTGGTGTGTGAGGAGGTGAATGTGGGTGAGTGTGTGCCGGGGTGGAGGGGCAGGGTGTCTGTGGGTGTGTGGAGAAAAATTCTTCACTTGTTCGTACAAATGTCAATAGTGACATTAGTTTTTGTATGTAATGAACTTAGAATTCCATTGTAAGTTGGCTTTTACGTTATCCTTTGTATAAGATGTGTCCCTGAGGTTATTTGTTGTTGTATTATGCACCCTGTGATTTCTTGAGTTCTTCAAAGTGATTTCATCCCAGGTCAAGTGCTGAACATTGATCTCTTGAGCCTTTTTCTTTGGGGTTTCTTCATTAAAGTAGGGCAGATGTCATGCTGTTAAATACATTGAATCAAGTTCATCACAATGTCAATAATCAATGGTTATATTTAAAAGGAAAATCTTCCTGTCTCTGATATCTAAAAAGTTCTGTTAGCCCTGGATACTAAAAAATTAGTTCACAGCAAAACAATTGTTCGGCCCTCCATCTTTAGCCAATGTTAGCTCCTAAACCACACAGACAGTTTTCTCCAAAATTAATATTCACCTATCAGTCTAGCTGAACTTGACACTCTGAGAATTTGAAATGGATATTTTGATTTTGGGGGTACTTTACATAAAGCCTAAAATGTTTTCAAAGATTTTCAAAAGTTTATCAAAAGTGGCTCTAATTTTTAACCCCCCCCCCCCGAAAAGTTCAAAGTGTTTTTGGCATTTTCCTTTAACTGCTAGTGTGTCTTGTTTCACAGTGCATTCTTTGGGCATCTGTCTAATTAAGAACTATATGGATTTTTCTGCTGGGATTAGCAAATTCTTTCTCTTTCATTACATAAAAATGACTACTTTCTCCAGAAGTAATTTGATTTCGAAGCACTGCCAAGAATGTTTTTAACCATCATGTGCATTAAATCACTATATGCTATGAACTCATGATTGTTTTATTTACACATATACAGGTGTAGAGAGAGGACAAGTTGAAACTTTAAAATTTTACGTTTCAAGTTGTTCTAAATAAAATATGTACCAGAAACTTATCCTAATATCTTTTTAATCTTTAGATATACATAGGATTAATTTTGTCAAGAGTTAAGCTGTTGGTACTGCAGAGCGCATGATTCAGAAAATGTGTGATACTGACACCATATAATTTTTGTCATTTCTTATTTTGAATAATATTGTGGTGATTATGTGCTTTACCCAATAGGTTCTTCTGACGACATGCATATCACATGATGGTGTCATGAACTTACAGCTATAAAATCACCAAACACAGACTTGATGATATGTTTATATTTCTTTTGTCATGGCAATGTGAAAAGGGATTTTATGAATATCACATAATTTTTCCCAATAATATTGTGCTACATAAGTATATTTACCACCTCCTTGAGGTCATGAGAGTCAAATTCACTGCATGTAACCTTTAAACATTGCTTTTCTCCAGATTTGGAAGAAGTAAGAAACCTTCTTGCATAGTACATTGAAGAAAAACCTGTGTGTAAAAAGATTTTCCCTGATTGGTTTTTGAGAAGACAACAGAAGTGTTTTGCGCATTCTTTACTTATAATAAGAATGAGTTGACTAAGGTAGAAGCTGCCTCCCATAGCCTACTTGCCATATTCTTATCTGATTTCTTGTATCCAGGTTTTTTTTGGTCCACCACTTTTTCTTCTATTAGACGGTGTCCAATTGCTTACCTTCTTTAGCAACCTATTATTGGGCGTTAGTTGTACATGCCCATATCACCTTAATATTTTCAATTCAGTGGTATCAATATTATCAAAACTGTCACCCATCTCTCTTCTGAAGCCATATCCCTTACTCTATCCATCCTTATCAATCTACACGAGAACTCGACACGAGGTGGGTCGGTCCACGTCCTGGCGGGGGGAATACAGAGAAGGATCTCATGTGTTTCTTTCTCCATGTTTCATCCTCTTCATTCATCATTTCATGTCACCCCCTTTTTTCTTCCTTATTGGCTTTCCCTGTTTGCAGAACGCCCATCCATGTGATGCCATGCATTCCTGTGCATGGCGACTAGTGTCGAAGTAAATGGGTGACTTGAAGATAGTTTTTTGGCATTTGGAGTAGTTTGGAGACATTTGAAAGTGTCAGTACAGTCTGTCTCGCGCAAGCCATAGAGGACTCGTTTGTAAGCTCCAAGGGTCGTGCGACAAAGGAAGAGCATTCTCTTTGAAGCGCGCGCCGACGTGCAAATAGAGAAGATCCTGTAAACTAAGCATATTGTCGGCCTCCAGGTGGAAGTGACCACTCACCCCACCCTTAAGCTCTATAAGGGAGTGGTCAATCAGTATAATTTGGTTTCTAAAAGTGAGGAGGAACTGTCACCGAGGTGTTCAGAATTAAGCGGGAGGAGCATAGGAGATCTTGACGTTCTATCTCCCAGCCCTCCCAGGAAGGAACCTCTGCGGATATACAATTTTCGCAATACGGTAATACGTACCGAACCACTTGCACTGCTTTAAATGATAAAGATTCGGCCATACGCAACAGCGATACGATGGCAGTACGCCCGGCGTGCGTTAAATGGGGACAGGTCAGAACTCGAAGTAGAACCTTGCGCCACCACACCATACTGTGTGAGCTGCGAAGGAGACCACACGGCAAACTCCAACAAGTGACTCGCGTTTTGAGATAGAGACAGATAGTTCTTGTCTAAAACCGTGTTGATGAAAGCCAAGTGGTTTGGAAACCTTTGGCCACCTAGCTGCCAAAGCTGCGAAGTGGTTTGGAGAAATGTAGACATCGAGCTGCCAAATCGAAACGTAAAAAACTCCCACCTGTGTACGAGGAGCTTGTCAGGTCTTCCTTGAAGACTTCTCAGAAATCACCTACTGTTTTTTGTTTTTTCTGAAAATAAAGCATGAAAAGAAAACTAGTGCAACGACAAATATCCGACTCCTTGCGCCAACGAATTCGGATCCAAAAGCTCTCGGATGCTCAATCTCTAGAGCTCGGCCCCCCATCTCATGGGATTAGGATGCCCATTCAACGCTGGCAGCCCTCTCTAGCAGTAGTTAGGATGACTCTTCAGTGGACGAGGACCTGCCTGCTAGTGCTCAAAATACTTTTCAGGTGAGAAAGAGAAAAAGAAGAAATCCTCCAACATTTCAACCATGGCTATCTCATGGAATGTAAACAGTTTCCGTTTCCATTTAGAATATTTACGCGCTCTTGGCGATGTCGCGGTATTTACCCGCGACTCCTTGTTCTCCGAGGAACACATCATCCGAACCGATCTTCAAATCTAGTGCGTATGGCTGAATTTACTATTAGCTCCGCTCACTCTGTGCAATATACATCTTCCACATGCACAAACCGTATCACAGAAACAACTTGAAGATTTCCCAGCTGCCCCAGCCTTTCCTTATCGTTGGAGACTTTAATGCCCGCAATCCCTCTTGGGGTGGCACGATGTCCCGCCAGAGGTAATGTACACGAAAATATTATTGACCAACATAACTTAATTCTTCTGGGAACTATTATTACCTTTTCCGTGTCTTCACACACTTCCTCGTCATCGATCTGGCGCTCTGCAGTCTATCTCTATCTACCATCTTCACGATGACTTACTTGGGGGGTGGAGTGATCATTTCCGTTTCGTCGACTTTGATATTCCTGATTTAAACGTTACTCCATCATCTCGCTGGCTAATCCATCGAGCTGATTTGGATACATTCAGCAAGGAAACAAGAATATCAGACAATAGTTTAAATGACATAGATGCCGTGGTGGCCCATTTCACCGACGCCCTTTTGCGTGCAGCCACCATTGCAATCCCAATGTCTGCGGGCCGGCCACGATGCCTCCCTGTACCTCGGTGGATCGCCGGCTGTGACGTCGCGATGCGACGGGTGATCGACAGCCGGCACGCCGAGGAGAACCTGTACTTGACGTTCTTGCCATAGTCTCGTCCTCCGCCTCATTCCTCCCCCCTCCCCCACACACACTAGTGGCGTCTCCTCACACTGGACGTAAGGTGTTGGTAGAGAAGGAAAGAGTTAACCCCCACACTATTCTTTCTGGCTGTGCAGGGGCTTAAACAGTGTATGTCCCTTCCATTTGTTTAAGACTCTCGTCTGCCCTATTTGCCCTATTGATGCTGCCCCTTACATGGTTTAAAGATGGCAAAGGCCTACAGCTACTTTACACAAAAACGATACCTGTGACATGCATTGCTCATGCAATAATTAGTTACGAAAAAAAACCGTGGAAATTATCCTGATGTAGAGAAGTTTAATTTCTGTAGTGAAGAAAATATTCATCAAAGCTTCATTGTGAGTGCAAATATTCAAGGAAATTGTTCCTTTAGTGCCATTGTCTCCCCACTCCATTCTCATTCAGCGGGGTACATGGCTTAATGTTCAATCTAGCGCTGTACCAATTTCAAAGCTATTGAATATATTGTCAACGCATTTAATGAAGGTGAAACAGCTTCTTCAAAATTGCCAAGTTGCTGTTTTAAAGAACGACACTCACCAAGATCTCACTTATATGAATACCCCCAAAAAAATGTACATATGTGTGCATGGGCACGCGCGCGCGCGTGTGTATTATATGTATAATGTATATGTATATATATGTATAATGTATATATATGTATATATATATGTATATATATGTATATATATATGTATATATATATGTGTATATATATATGTGTATATATATA